GTCAACAGTGTTAGCATATAGGAGGACTAGAATCTTCTTGATATTCAGGACAAGTGAGATTCAAAGGATCAAAGTAAGCTAAACAGTCAAGAAGGCAGGATTTCCTGTTGAAACTGAAATAGGGAACAACTGAAATCATAGCTTTCCTAACAATGAAATTCTGTGGTCTCAAGGACTTTCTAAATAATCAGTGGCTTTAGGCGAATGGTTATAAGAACGATACAAATTTTTTCTTGAAATCCACGTGAAGGATTAATCTATGCCATTTACTTTAGGGTGTGTACCTTTAATAAAGAAAGCCACATAGAATACTCGGTGAAAGTCACCTCATCCCAACTACATCCGTGGTTTTTGTGACTGCTGTTAGAGTGGTAGGTGTTCCTGCCAAGGTGCCCTTGCACCGTCCGACCTGAGCTGCCATCTTTTTTTTTTTTTCTTTCTGCTCAAAAGTCATTTGCTCCATCTAAAATGAACATCTCAACATCACTTCAACTTCCATTACCTGGTCCACCTCTGAGCCTTGCCACATGCTGTCCCCTAGCTTATCCATACTCCCAGCCTACAGTATGGTCCCTTGAAGACCTCCCACTCTATTAGAACTTGATCGTGATAATCTTTTACAAAATCACTGCCTTGTCTTGCTATCTGAAATAAATTATGACCTTTCTGTGCTATAAGAGAACCTAAAAAACTTGATTTTATCATTAATTAAAATGTCTACTTTCTATTACAATAATTTCTTGTGTCATTTTCTCCTCAACTAGATTACAAAGTCTTTGAAGTTAGTAATCCTATCTTATCCAAACCTGTATCCTAGCAGCCTTCAGTAGGTACCTTTGCATCTGGATTTTAACATTTATTTAACATTTATTGAATTGTAGTTGATTATTTCTGCTGTAGTGTCTTCCTGTAGAAACACTTACATGAATACCCCCTTTTGTGTGATATAAAAGCTATAGGTCCCACAGGCCTTCCTTGTTTCACAACTTGTTAAGATTGTGGCTCTGCAAAGTTGCTAGAGCCGGACTTTCTGAACTCAAGGCAGAAAATTTAAAATCTTAATTGAATATTCTTTCCTTCGAATCTTAAATCTGCTCTGTGACTCTGCCCTCCTGGGTTGAATCATTTACCGTCCTTGACCTTCAAGCCAGGGGAGAGGACAACCCCTAGGTTTGACTGAAACCTCTGAGAATCTTCTGAGAAGCCTCCTAGAAGTGGTTGTTGCCTTAGTTTTAAGTTATCAACTTTATATAGGATGAATTAAAGATGTTCAAAAGTGGATTCCTTATAGCTAACAACAATGTATTATATA